CTCATAAGTCCAGTGTTGTGAGGGGTAAGGCTGATTTAGTGCTAAAAAAGAGCGCTAAAGCCGCACGGGTGACTTGAGGAAAGTTAGTCCGTGACAGCTTGCTTTCATTTCTTCTTTACACTATAGAGTTTTCAGCTTTGTGTTTTTCATACAAGGCTTGTCGATAACGCTCTTTGAGTTTTTGAACAAGCTTAGAATTTTTGAAACATGAGTCACGAAGATAAGTATTTAGCAGAGCAATCATTATGGTACTTTGGTCAATCTTTAAAAAAATTTCAAACCAATTTCTAATTTTTTTCCTAAATTAATGGAGTTGTTTACTACACAATGTTTTGGGTTCCGGCGAAAAGAACCAAGCAAACCAAAAGGATGAAGGCAAAAAGGAAAACAACAAAAAGCAAAACAGCTTCAAGGTGAATGGAAAAAAAAAGTTTACAAATTGTTGTATTTATTGATTATTACTTATCTTTTTACTATTTTATTCAATTCCCCTTGAGAAAAGATAATAGATCTACATATTCATAATTGGTGCATTGCATTATTACTTATGTTTAAACCATATGTACTCATGTGTTATTATTGGAGCAAATTTATTTGGTTGCATTTGTTTAATATATTGTTTCATACCTCATATTTGAATTATATGTAATAATGATTTATTATTGGAAAACAATGTATCTGATTCGATAAACTTCATTTGCTCAATTTATGAGAAAAAAAAAACTATCAATTTATGAGTATCACCACTATACCACAATTTTTAAAAAACATAGTAAACTTTTAGGACATCAATTTTTAAATATTAAATATCCATAATGTCATAATTTATAGTTTCTCACATCAGAAGAATATATATATATATATATATATATATATCCATTAGCATATGTATATATTATTTGTGAGAACAAAACATAATATATCCATTTATATTATTATTTTACTACCCTTTTTTAAATATGATAAAACTCTAGAACAAAAATTTTTAAACTAAGAAATGCATAGCATCATAATTTAGTGTTTCTCACATCACAGAAGCAAACATTCATTTGTGAGAAAAAAAAAAAAAAATTTTCTGTATCACCACTATACCATTATTTTTCTAAGCATGAAAAAACTATTAGAACATAAATTTTCAATTAAAGAAGGTCCATAACATCATAATCTAATATTTCTCACATCATAAGAGTAGAATTTATGGTTCATTTATGAGAGAAAACATAATAAATTCACATGTACCACTATTAACCTCAACTATATTACAATTTTCCTAAAATATGGTAAAATCATTACAACAAAAATTTTCAAATAAAGAATTGAAAAAACAGAATATATGGTTCATCTATCAGAAAAATCACAATATATTAATCTATACCACCAATATGCTAATATTGTACAATTGTTTTTCTAAGAAAAAAAAAATTTTAGAAGAAAAATTTTCAAATTGTAAATGTGCAAAACATCATAATTTATTATTTCTCATATTAGAGGAGCAAAATATATATTTTATTTGTGACAAAAAATGAAATATATACATATATACTTTTTTTCTTGTTATTTAATATTAGTGATTGTTATGAGTTATTTTTTGTTGTTTATTGTCCCATTGATTTTGATTATTTTGAGTTGGTTCTGTCTATTTGTTGTGTTGTAGCTCGAGTCATCTTCGTGTTGTCCCATTGATTTTGATTATTTTGAGTTATTTGTTGTGTTGTAGCTCGAGTCATCTTCGTGTTGCAGTTTTCTTTTTATGGACGGACGTCTTTACTTTCTCTCATAAAAAATAAATAAAAATAATAAAAAAAATTATCACATGCGTATTGCATGCAGATGCATGCAAAAAATAGAAAAAAAGAATTATCACATGCCTATTGCGCGCACATGCGTATTGCATGCAAAAATTAGAAAAAAAGAATTATCACATGCCTATTGCGCGCAAAACAGCGGAACAGCGGAACAGCGGAACGTATGATAGCATGATCACAAGCGTTGCGCCTGCAAAACAGCGGAACAGCGGAACGAGTCGTGGCTGAACACCTGGGTCCCACTTTGGGAGACGACCGCCTCAATGCTAAATAACCAGTTGCCCCAGTAACAGAAACGGAAGCTGCGTCGGTTTCGTATTTTCTCAGGTTTTCTTCGTTTCCGTGTCGTGCCCTCAAACTTTTAGATTGTCCCATCCCCTATCCCTCTGTTCTTCTTCTTAAGAGGAAAGGAATAGGAGAGTTTAAGATCTGATCGGGAAAAGGAGGAACTTGTGGCTGTTTGAATCATTGGATCCGAGTTTCGGCGATCTATTGGTCAATTCTGGTAATTTCTCATGAGCATGAGCGATTGCATGGCTTTTTGATGTTTTCGTTTTTTAAATTGTCTTCTTGTTGTCTGAGGAGGCGATGAAGCAACAGCGCGCGTTATTTAGCTAGGATTTTGGCTTTTTGTTTTTCGTCTTGGGATATTGCTACTGTTTAGTCTTGTATACTTTACAGAAAAAGTGCATCAAAATCAGTATTGTTGATATCTCGGCGAGCATAGTGGTTATTAATTTGTTGATGTATTTTGGATATTGCATTGTTCTGCTATTCATGAAGTATTTACATGGAATATGGAGTGTCAATAATTCATTTAACTTTTTTCTCTGTATCTAGGTTACTGTTGAACAAATATGATTGACTGCGTTTACTCCTTTTGAGGACAAAATATAGCAAATGAGAATTGATATTCTTTGCCTCTTATGTTTCTGTACTTTTAGAAGGATTATTTAATCAATTTGTATTCCTTTTTTCATGTTTTTATCATTTTTATTTGCTTATTCTTTTGATGGCTTTCTATGACATGCAGGCTACTATATGCTTTTTGTTTGCATCTCTCTGATGTCTTAACTTCTTTGGTGAGCCATATAGATGATATTACCCCAAACTTGATGAACATGGCACTCCAGTGACCTCTAGCATTAGATTAAAGATTGTATTTGTGTGAACTGGTGAGGTTTGGTGGAATCAACAGAAATCTGTTCCTCCAGTTCTGTTTTGAGAAAAAGGGAATCTGTATGATACTTTAATTAGATTTGTTGGGGTACATCAGGAATATCAAATCTCTGGGCTTGTAAAACTTTTAGTTTGGACAATTTGATGATTTTTTCTCGTCCCTTTTTTCAATTGTATGGAGTTCACTAAGGTCATATTTGGATTCACTTTTGCTTTGTCTTTTTATTTTTTTCATCTTAAAATTTAGGTACTTGATAAATGCACATGCTTTACTTTTGTTAGTTGTTAATGGAATAAATGGATTGTTTCATGAAATTGCGAAACATTTACACTTTCACATGTTTTGGAAGGTTGTTTCAATTAGTTAGAATGCTTAGAGATTTATTAGTTTTTATATTATATAAGGGCTAATTAGGGATTAATTAGTGCTATAATTAGCATAATTAAGGATTTATTTCTATTTATTTACAAAAGAGTAGGTTTATGTAGTTAACATAAATCAATTGTCTATAATTACTTGTTAAGGCTAAGTAGAGAGTCATTATGATTTTGATTAATTGAGATCATGAATGTTCTTTTATTATTTTATTCAATAATTAGTCTCGATATAATTAAATATTTAATCTCTCTATGTAATTGGTATTTAACTTTTATATATGATAATTAAACAATAATTAAGTTTTGGATAAGATCATTGAATTTGTTATTATTAGTTATTGTAATCTAGCCTAGGATTTATAATAGCGGTATTAGATTTAGTATATAATCAATCAAATTATATATGATCATGATTTGAGCATCAAATTATGAAAATGTCAAAGATATTATGTCATTATAATTTAAAATGGTTGAGGCTACAAAAATTGTGTGATTCTCAAATTACACCATTGACATTAACGGTCAAACAAAAAAAGTCCATAGGTGAAGATAAAAATCAGTCGAGCACTTGCTAATATTATGATGAAGTCAAATTTAAATTTATTTGGATAATTTTGTATTTTGAAATAAATTTGAATTTCTCCTTTGTTAATGTAGTTTACGGAAGATAAAATTATTAATAAATTGTGAATTTAGGGGATAAGGTTGTGTACATATAAAAAAGTATGCTTCTCAGACGATGATGAGACCAACAAACCTGATAAAATGAAGATAGGCGACCGAAAGGCTTCTCCAGGAAGCTTGGGGGTCGCTGCAAGTAGACTTTAAGAGATGATCGCCAGGCGTTGAAGAGTCAAAGAAATGTGATAGGCCGCGGGCACCGAAGGTTGACCGACCTAGGGCCAAGCAAACTATAAGGCCAAGCGACAATGACCAATCTATGGATGATTGACACAAACTACACTTATCAGACCAACCAACAGTTCACAAGTTCAAAGGAGTCGGTCGCCCAGGGGCTGACACTTAATTGCTCGATCGACACTTAGACTCGTGATCAGAAAACTTAAAACTAATAATGGATCACTCAACCATCCAAGATCGTACATGAGAATAAGGGTGAAGGGGACATGGTACTTCATGATGGATTTGTCCTTTCGAGCATACTATTAAAAGCGAGCGACTGAATTGAAATTCTACAGCCCCACTCATGTCTTTTGGTGTTTAGTGGAATTCATTTATTTTAAATGATCTTGCATGTCTTTTCAGGATAGGGTTATCTCCTATAAATAGGAGACATTATACAGAAAAAGGGGAAAATTTCTTTGATTTGCATTCTTCCATCATGGAATCCCTGTCAATTCTGTCTTTCTCAAAGGATCTTTATTCTTTATTCTTTATTCTTTGTGTGCGTTCTATTCCTTGGGCGTGGCTCGAGAACAGATATGGGTTCAACACCCCTGAAAAGGTTCGGTGAGCATGAAGTAATGCCACACACAAGAAGAGGAGCGACACAAGTGGAAGAAAATATCCATGAGAACACAGATAACATGGAGTGCATCGGAGACTTTGTGATCCAACAAATCCAAGTATTTAAACATCAGATGAGAGAAATGACCAAGGAGACTTTGGTGAGAAATATACCCGGTACTCCAACAGGTGGTTCTCACACGTCAGAAATTTATCCTGAATGCAGATAAGGCACCCTCCCCGATGCCAAGAGTGAGCGATGAGATGTATCACCCAGACAGAGCTAGATCAGTACCCGAGATCGACACAGAACGAGCACATGAACACATGGTGTCTAGCCTCTAATAATGCTCTCTCTCAACACATCTCTAAAGCTGAAGCTTCTGAACTATTCAAGATCCCAATTCTGGAGTCGTACCAAGGAAAGTTTGACGGTGTGCCTATTAAGTGCAAACGATGCAATGAAGTGCTAACTTTTCCTTATGATCATGAAGGGGTTTACGCTTCGGTGGTTCTATAACCTTCCACTCGGAGTAATCTTTTCACTTACTAAGTTTAAAGGGATGTTCATGACATAATTTGCTATTGCTTATAAGCCACAAAAAATTTCTTAGGCATTGCTGCAGTTGTGGCAGGAACAAGTGTAAGCATTACACACATTTATTACCCGATTTCAGAGATAAATGTTGGAAGTATGAGATTTGGAGCCCACGGTAACACACGCGGCCCTCGCCAGAGGCTGAGAGAAGGTCCCTTTTAGCATACCTTAGGACTGTAGCGACCCAAGTTACTGGCAGAATTGTTGGAGCTTCCTAACGACCACATCTCAATAGAGAAACGCATCTTACCTAGTCTCATGGAGATCCAAACGACTACAACCACATCCACCAAAAGGTTCTCAGGGCGACGATTAGAAACTCAACCTTCTGCCACGATCATTGACATGCCCCCAATATGAAGACTATTCTTGATTACACCCGAAGGCTTACGCTATGAAGAGAAAGAGACACTTAAATGAAGAAAGAACGTAGTATCGAGAGCTCCAAAGTCTCTTCTCAACGCTCGAGGCAAAGCCACCAATTCCAAAAGTGTATTTTAGGACTTCATGCATCTCCTTATATCAATTAGGGCTTCAAAAGCGTATCTAAACATGCCAAATTCATCAAATTGTAGAGTCTGGATGGACACCGACATAGCTACGCCCGCCCAAAATCGACATAATTATGCCATAGGACAGCATAATTACGCACAGAGTAGCATAATTATGCCCCCTTTCTGGTTTGTGTAATTATGCCACTGTGGCATGGTTGTGCCATATTTTTTGGCAGAATTATTCCACATTATGCCATACTTTCTATGTTTTGGTATTTTATGTTTGTTTCGTAACTTTCAAAAATTTTCTTAATTTTCTATTTCTTTTCTTCTTTTTTTAGATATTTGAACGCTTTTTTGTTTTTTTTCTTCTTTTTTTAGATATTTGAACGCTTTTTTGTTTTTTACTTGTCTATGTATCGATTACACAGATAATTATTATAACTGATCGAGCATATATTTTAATGATTTTAAATGTTTGGTCTTTCCCAATTAATAATTCATATTCACTTCTTAATATGAATTTTGAAATCCAAAATCAAGTCTTAATTAAATTGGTTGAGTTGAAAATTAAAATGTATAGAATATCCTTGCTTAATTACTTATATTGATAATTACATTTTAATTGTTCTTGGATGATTAATCTAGGGGTAGAAGTAATCAAAGTAAATGACCAAATTATTAAGATATTAATTCTAATCCTCTCATTTGATGGATATTCAAAGCTCCTAAAAAGATTTACTCAACGTATCAAAATACCAAAAAATCCCACTTGAGTCATTATGCTAAAGTGATGTCTATCACTTTGTTATGTCAATTACTTTTAGGCAAGTATACATGCATAACTCTCCCGCCACCAAACATGTTTTTCTATTCTATAAACTGTATAAGAACGGTGATAAGAATCTAGTATGCAATAACAAGGAATCTAAATCTGATAACATATCACAGCGTAACAATAACACATGAAGATCGATAAGTGTAACACATAATCGTCTAGAAAACTAATATTTTTTTACATCTAAGTACCTGCATGAAAAGTCCCAAATGTGATCATTTCATTCACCTCACATAAAGATTCCGCACCAAAACTAACATGATACTTGCTAAGTAAAACAACTAAACACACTCAAAATAAATTCAAAGCAAATTTGAATCAAATTTCAAAGCAAATGCAAAACAAAAATATGCCCAAAACACATGGTAACATTGGGTTGCCTCCAAAGAAGCAATTGATTTAACGTCCTTAGCTTGACCTAAGATTAAATCAAGCCTAATATCCTTCATCTAGGATCAAAGTTTCATTTCAGTTATCCCAAATCGATCGCCCAATATTTTTGGTTGTCTCGAGAATTTCTCTGAATCCTCATATTTCATAATTTCTTGTAATTTCTCACTTTTAATTTGAGAATAGTCTTCCTGAGATATATATGGATTTGATTCAAATTATACCTTCTAAGGATGTTTTTTAGGTCCAAAACTCTCCCAATTAACTCGTTCTTTTGCATATCAGTATTTGGTTCACCGGTTGCAAGAAATGATTTCCTAGAAGGTGAGTTAGGGTTTTCGAAGTCTTTGTCCTGATTCTCACTAGGTGTTCCAGGCTCATGATCTAATGTTACGTGGCTATTCTCCTTCCTAGGGGCGTCTTCCAATTCCTCTTCCCTAGTCTCACTGCTGGCACTTGCTCATTTTCTTTTTCTTCATGATTCACTTCTATGTTAGTTGTTACTGGTAGCATCACTTAGGGTCTATGGCTTAAGAAGTTAACTAACTGCTTAGTTTGATTCTCTTAGTTCCTAATGACTGCAGTTTGGCTTCATAACTAGTTCTTCATAATGCTGCCAATTCTTCCAAAGACGATGTATTTTTCAAATCGGGGATCAGAAGTGAATTCAAGTGGGTATGTTGATCTAAAGTGGTTATTGCCCTTGCTGTTTCAATTTTCTACAATTTTGGCTTAGGTGGTCCCCCACAGCTGGTTATTTACACTTGAGTTATTACTGGTCCAATTATATTTTGGGTGATTATTCCAGCTTGGTTTGTAGGTATTGCAATGTAGGTTGAAATTATTTTATATAGTATCCAAGGTTTCCAAAGCAATTGTATTAGGATCTATTACTAGTTCATGAGTCATTTTTTTAGTTGGTAGGGATATTGGAATTGGATTTATCTTTAAATTGTCTAATGTTTTAAGAATGATAGCAATTTGTGAGGCTAGGATAGTCAGAACATCAATCTTATGCAGACTAGTCATCTTCTTAGGTGTGACTCTCTCAGATGACCATGGAAATTCGTTCATCACCATTTTCTCAATTAGTGAGTAGACTTTCTTAAATAATTTTGTCATAAGGGACCTCAGCTGCAACATCTATGATTTAACTTATGGATTAAAATAATCAATTGTAAAAGGTTTGCACAATCAGATAGTCAGATGGATTTCTTTAGCAATTCCTTGAGTTTCTCCTAAACTTTGTAAATGGACCCTAGCTAGCTCGCAGTTTACTGTATCATGAGGTTTGGCACTACGATCCCCTTCGTGGGTTTAGAATTACAATGATATAAAGGTTTATATCACGGGCCCTTCTTTGCTTCACAGAATCTCCGTGATTCTATCTTCGCTTTCACTGAGATTAGGGCACAACGTGTTCACAACCTGTACGATGTGATCGTTCCCCGAATCAAATGCTTAATACTAAATTGATAGGTAAGAAGACGAGTTTTTCACCGAAATTAGGGCAACAAAATATTTTACTTCAATAACATCAAGCAACACAACACAATACATAAAGGATAAGCACCTACATTTCAAGAGGTAAATGATCTCTCCCATACCCTAATCCTAACCCTAAACCTACAATTCAAGAGGTAGGCGATCTCTCCCAAACCCTAACCCTAGACTTAAGAGAACAACCACACATGACATAACCTTAAGCATAATAAGCTCTATTTATTTTATTCAAGAAAAATAAGCCCACTTTATATGAAATAATAATAAATACTAATAAAAAGCTAAATATCTCTTAAGCGAGAGTCTAACAGAATCATATTAGTTATACATTATTGTCTCTTACGTACTGTCAATATTGTTCCATCTGTCTTTTCCTTCTCTTCTTGGTTAAGAAACAAAAACTGCTATGTTTTGATGTAAAGAGAAACTTCTTCCCTGTCTTGGAAAAAAATTGTTACCGTTTTTCATGCTGATCAAAAAGTCCATTGCTTTGTTTCTTCCCTTGCTTTATTTATTATTTTTAATCTTTTGCTCTATTTTAATGGAAACAACGTATAGATCTCCATTTTTTATATTGTAGGTCAGCCATTACCATGCTACTTGATCAGCTATTATCATAGATCTCTATTCTTATGCTATTTTGGGTTGCCATCCAGTGCCATGTTCTTGTCTTGTGATCTTAATCACCGGATTTCCAGTAATTGCTCTAACTCCCCTTGTGGACTTTCGTTGACTTCTTCAACTTTCATGGTGTAATTTTAGAATCCCCACCATTGGCTGCCAACAATAATGATTCATTGCTTGTCAGGATCTGATGCTCAAATCATCATTTTGGATTATCATTGATAATCTACTATTTCCAATCCTTTTAACAATATATATACTAATAATTAATTGAAAGGATGAGAGAGAAAGGGATGAAAGCTGTAGTCTTAACATGTCCTAATTTTTTAATAAAATTTTCTCCTCTTTTAAATTTATAAGAAACTAAAATTTTGCAGAAAAGTTTCTTTAACATAAAAAGGTTCAATTTTGTTACTCAAAAAGCATGAGAAACAATTATGTGGATAGCTGTGGAAACGTGGGCTGTTGTTTACAGGAGTGAAAAAGAACTGTTTAAACTTTTTTTTTTTTCATTCCTTTATGATAATTGCTTCGAATTCAAATATCTAACTTCAGTGGTAAGGATAGTTATATGTATATATAGTTTTTGGTTAGTATGTTTTTCTTTTTCTTTATTTCTAAAAATGTTAAAAAAGATTGTCCAACTATGTTTATTTTTTTGGGGTTCATTTGGTTGTTTGAAGTTTGAAACATGTTTCGATAAACGATGGAGTTTACTGGATCCAATAATTGGCTGGTTGTGGGCAGAAGTCATTATGATTTAATATTCCATAAATCTTTCAAACTCTTTCAAACTTAATGATTTCATTTTCACAAATGAAGTGACTGAAAATAAAATTACCATTCTTTAAAATATATGTTTTTTTTTCTTTAAAAAATAAACGAGCTTTAAATGGAAAAATAATTTCAAACATGGCCTAGTAATCTTGTTGTTTGTTTCCTGACATTGTCCGAGTACTCTTATTATTTTCATAGAGAATATAGAAACAAGGTGCATTAACGAATCATAGTCAGTAATCGCAAGTAATAAAAATTAATTGGGTGGATATTTGGTAACATGAAGAATTCTACTTGAATGTTATCAACTAAATCATACGTCGTGTTGCAGGCTTTTTCAGTGTTCTTCTGGAAACATTGAGAAGATGGTTACATCTTTGATATTGATTTTCTCGAAGATTATTAAGCATAAGAAGCTTTGATATGGACCTCTAATTTGGCATCCTATTTATATGTAGGTGTTGGCTAAGTTCTCATATCCTTTTTTGACGGTTTGGGAATTTTAGAAGAAAGCAATGATGCTCCTTAAAAGAATACCATGCCAATCCAAGGCATTTGGCAGCAACGCGCATCACAGTATCATTCTTATGTATCTGCTGCAGGATGCTAGGGTTAAATCCTATGCATTGAGGGGCACTTAAATACTGCTCTAGCATTCCTCCTGCAATAGAATGATAACTGAATGATTCTATCATACCCTAGCACAATCTACAGCTGAGGTTTGCATGAAGAGCATGTTTAGTTACCTGCTTGGATTTTATTCTGTTTAATGGACCTTTTCATTCTTGCTCTCAAGGTTTTATTAGAGAGTGGCCAGCCCATAGTAAACAAATGGTTTTTGTATGTAACATTTTTTTATTCAACATGCCTTTATTCTATTACTAAAGCTCCATTTAACAGAGGGCGCACCGCCATGGTGTAAAAAGCATGGTAGTTTGAAAGATTCTGATTTCTCACAAAGTATGATTTAGGTTATGACCTTATGGCCATGTAAAGGAATAATGGAATTGAATCCTTCCTAAAACACGCATGCACACCCGCTTGTGACATAGTCCAATTGGATAGGGTGAAATTGGCGATCAACTTCTGCTTGTTAAGTTGGGTTGGGAGTGATCCAGAGGAAACCACGAGGCGCAGTCTTGAACCCTTTTTGAAAAAATCATTTTGGGAGTGATCTAAAGGAAACCACATGAGGATGATACAGAATCCTGTGATGTAGTGCAAGTTTGTATATACAGATCGGGAAAAATGGTTGGGTTGATTCTGGGGAATGTTCAACATCTCTACTGAGTTTAAGTACTTTTAAGTCAGGGGCTAGCTGATCACAAGAAGATTCTCTTTTTTTCAGTGCAAACTCATTTCTTTGAAGTAATGGACTGTTCATTCAAGATATTTTATGCAGTCCTTCAAATTTGGCATCCCCATGGCTAAGTATCTCACTCGCTTTTCTCTCTTTTTATATCTTTTCTCTCTCTCTCTCTCTCTCTCTCTCTCTATCTCGCTAAACCTCTCTCGCCATTCAATCTCTCTTCTTCTCACCCATCCTTCCCCGTTCATTTATTTTCGCCATTTGTAACTCCTATAGATCAAAAAGTAAATTCTTGGTATTGCCGTAGTTGCCCCTAGTCTTTAGACAGGTATTTCTGATGATGGCTTGGCATTTGTTTAATGTTGTAGAAATGGGAGGAACTCATCCTCCATAACCTTAAAATACTGTCTCTGAGTACAATTTCAGCAGTTGTGTGAAAGCTCCGGAGGAAGTTCACTATGCGCATACCCATAGCCAGCTCCACTGTTTGTTTTTGATATTCTAATCTCGCTTTACATGGAAAGGCCTCCTTTTACAATGTTCGTCAGGTACCTTGTAATTCAAGCTATTTTTATTGCTGTAGATATGTTCTCCTCAGAAACTACATTTTTATTTTATCCTGGATCAATTGCTTTTTGAATTTTGCTAATAGTTTTTATGATAATACTCTTTCATTTAGGCTGTTTTACTGCAGAGGGGTTAGATTTTGTGTTTCGGTATTAAAACTTTTTTCTTTTTAAATTTTACCCTACATCATTCTATTTAGGTTCATTTTATTTCAGTTATAACAAATCTTGTAAAGACAAAAACAAACAAAATTTACTTTTAAAGAAGATCCTATTTTGTAGAGCTATTTTGTTTATCATGTTTTCTAGTTTGTTTGGTCATATGCTTATAGAAGGTAATGAACTATACAATTACAATGGAAATTGGCAGCATCTTGTTCTTATGTAAACATTTTGTTGTGTGTTAGGAATTCTTTGCATATTTTAAGTTGCTTAAATCGAATGTAGTAAACACTAATATTATGAGCTTTAATTTTCTCGTTTCATTGCTCAAAGGATGTAGGGTAGACCTTGGTGAAACTATGTAATGACATCATCCACCCACTCACAGACACAGACACACAACACACAGACACAGACACAGACACACAGACACAAAAACAACACAAAGACATAGATAAGATGGAGTACAATTTAAGAAATAAGGGGATTATACAAGCATATACACAAAGCCCTTTAATAATCAATAAAAATAATGAGAGTAGATCTCATTAAACCTGGGATCAAACTTTATTTAAAGAAAGAAAAAGTGGAGAAAAGAAATTCCTCTCATTAGACCTCCAAGAACTCAACAATATTAGATCTCCTCAATTGGAAAATCAATACAACAACAACAACAAAACCTTAATCCCACTACGTGGTGTCGGCTACATGAATCACTTTCTTCATTGCGACCTATTTAGCGTCATATTTTCAGTCAATTCTAATAAATTAAGATCATTTTTTATACAATAAGCCCAAGTCTTCCTAGGACTACCTCTGCTTTTATTAACATAAGTCGAATCTAAAACATCTACTCTCCTAATCGGATCATTAGATGGTCGACGTTTAATGTGACCAAACTATCTAAGACGACTCTCTCTAATTTTGTCCGTCATTGGAGCTAATCCCAACCCTATGACAAAGATATTCATTTTGCATTTTGTCTCTAAATGTAAAGCCACTCATCCACCTAATCATTCACATCTCGGCAACACTTAACTTAGTATTATGCTTATTATGCTTCTTATGCTTCTCTTTTAAAGGCTAACATTCAACACCATAGAACATTGCAGGTCTCAATTGGAAAGTCAACAAACAATTTAAATGACAAATCATCGTTGTCTCCATACCTGAATGCCTTGAAGGGTATTAACTGTAAGTACGAATCATGTCTAGGCAATGACTCCACGTTTTAAATTAAGACTTTTTTAATCTGTTGGTTGGTAGAATTAAGAATCTTATCAATTTATATATCATCTTCAACTTCTTATGAAGTCGTACATTATATCATTATGCTTGGTTTATTTCATGATTAGACTATATGAATGCCACTCTGATTATTACAAAATACCATTGAACTATTTTAGTGCAAGCCAAATTTTTTAACCAAACACTCCTATCAATGAACTTTAATAACTTCGGTAAGGGCTATGTACTTTATCTCAATAGTGGACAAAACAATGTAGGCTTAAGGGTTGCCTTCAAATTAGCCCATGGAGAGTGAAGACATACCTAGTTTGAGGACTCCTATCAAGATAATTAGTATATCATATTTTCTCCTATTCAGAATTAGAAATCCCTGGCATTGCCATATGTAGGCTTGGCATACATCAAACGCATACATAAGCTTGTATTGCTATTGGAATACCTTATTATTCATTATATTGCCTTCTAGTGACCCTGCAATCCTTACCCGTGTATCAACTAAAAATGCTATTAGGTGAAGTATCTAAGCGAGTCCACTATGTGTCGTACGTAATTCCCAAACCACTTTTAATGAGTGAGGAGCTATTGATAATTGAAAGTTACTAGCAAGTGGCTTCACAACATTCACATTGAATTTCTCTAACGCCTCAATGAATCTCATTTTTGTTAGAAAAAAAGCCAGGTTAGGATCTATGATTCGGTAATGTAACTTGGGATGATATGGACAATGAAAACACAAAAAGAAAAGTTATAGTTGTAGGTTATCTATCCACTCTTATCTTTTATGCAAATTAGTCACTTTTAATTTAATAAGTAGCAAATATGTTTCTTTAATTCAAAACAATAATGCACTAGTTGCAAAATTGTGAAATCTAATTCAAAATTTGAGAAGGAATATAAAAAAAATTTGAGAAAAAGATCAAAGTGGATTCTCAATCATTTATGAGGACTCTTTTAGTCCAGAACTATCAAATGTGTCCGACTTAGTCTCTTGACTTCTTAGATATGCTTCAAAATAGTCCATTTACTTTTCAAATTTCATCCAAAATAATCTAAATGATGAGCTATTTTGGATTATATTTGACGAGCCTAGTGATTAAATTGAACAAGCTAGATAATTGTGGTTAAAATAAGCCAATATAAAAATTTTGAAGATCAATTTTTGCCCTTTTTCCTCATATTTTTATGATAATTAAAATTAATATCCCAAAAATTAATCTAACACCTTCAACACTTGATAGAACTTCATTCATGCTTACTCATAGATATTTAAGTAGATAGAAATTTAGATGTAGAAATACCCAATAGAAAGAGATTTTTTCCATTGAAAGTAGTCATCAAGGCTTACAAAACCCTCAAAGAATATTCATCCAACAAAAAACACAAGAATTTGGGATTACTGAAATCGTTACTCAATATTCGATGATTTTTACATGCCTCGTGTGTCATATATAGCTTATGAAGAAACCAAAAATAAAAAGTTCCTCATTATCCTTATAGATCATGTAAAACTTTGTTAACTTTCAACTTTCCCAACACTAGCTTTCAATTTTACTCATTTTATATATTCTTAGAAGGAAAACCAAAGAGGTGAAAAGCTATGGTCTAGCCCAAATGCTTTCGTAAGATGAGCCTTTAGATTATGGATTTATAACATTTTTTGTAGCTGCAATTGGCATGATATCTACATACAAAAGCAAATATAAAAAATAAAATATACATTTATCGTTAAATATGTAACTATCAAATGTTCAATACCACTGCCTTTGAGATTATTTTTATCCATGTAAGATTTTTTTCTTAAGAGATGCACGTGATACGGGTGGTGGTTTTGTGTGATTTTTCTTATTCAAATTTTGTAGAGAATTAAACTCCAATCACCTATGGACTACTCTGATACTTTTGTTGATACTCTCTTCATAAGTGGATGGCTCTAAAGCAAGCTCCAATAGATATAAGTATATATGCTAGTATATATGAATAATTGAATTCCTCATAACAATATTTATGATGTGGCCTAATCATCCTCATAAGAATTATGAGAAGAAATATTTTGTTTAGTTATTGTGTTGTCAATTCTTTATGAGAACCAATCTCCATCGGTTATTGCGGTTCGTTATCATTGAAGTAATTTTGCTCAATCTTGAATGTAAGAAGCTGATCTTCCTTTTTTCTCGTCTTAAAACATCAATTTAATTTGAATTACTAAATTGCAAGTTGTGCATTAAACTTGACATCCTTGTTGATCACAGAACTATCGATTGGGGTCTATATGGGAAAAGCTGTATGCATTCACTCTAAATGCATAAACAAGAAATATGCTTATCTTAGCTCTCAGGTCCAATTTTCCATCCATAACTTGGCCAGAAACAGGACAAAAGAAGTATGTTTACTCCTATTTACCCCCATGATGTCCTTAATCTGTGATGGTTTTCCAAAACATAATGTTTTCAAAATCTAAAAAACCATTTCTATCGTAACAATGCAGACCTCTTTTACTCGACTTCAACAAGCCTCTAACATATGCCCAAGCCACGTATGCAATAACTTATGAATCATATAAAGAAATTAATTTTGCACTTAGTGTGCTGTACTGCAAGAAGTAGAGACTAACAAGCTTCTCTGCTTTTGTCAAAATAATAACATCTTTAAAACATTTGATGCTTCTTTGCATCTGTGCCCATTATAGTCTAAGCAACCTAATGATATAAGATTCGTATTCAATGTTAGAACATGACTGACCTCTCTTAAAGTTCTTATCATTTCATAATGTGTCTAAATATGAATTATATCTATCCAAATGATCTTATAATTTTATCCATTTCTAATAATGATGCTTCCACCGCTAATAAACCTACCTATGTGAGATGTTATGCCATGTGAACCACCAAAATCAATCATCTAATCTTCAATTGAAGGAACACAATAATCTGGTATTGTTAAAATGGTTCAAACACACGTGTGATCCTCTGCCATTACTACTAACTTCCTTACAATTCTCAAATTTCCTTCAAAATCTTATCAAAATTTTTTATAAATGCAAGTCAAAAAAAATGAAATTGGCTCTTCTTTGTGAGCTTTGATTTTGGTTTGCTTTTACTTTCTTGTCTGTTTCTCATACTTATCCAAATCAATAAACCTTCTATAGGGATTTCTTTTTGATAGTTCATCCTCAAATCATTAACGTAACCATATAAATGTCTTGAAATTATTGTGATTTTCATACATCAATATGGTAATAACATGCTCTTAAAAGGATGACATATGTCACAAAAAAATAAAATTTTACCTTTGTTTTTTATCTTCTCATTAATATAATCTATATCTATGATAAGCTTATTATAGGCATCCAAATGCTCATTATTTGATGTAACGTCCTTAATATGGAAAATAACTTCTTCATTTATAGAGCTTTTAATTTTTTTACAACATTTGTGATTTTTTAATCTACTGAATTTGAACTATCCTAATCTCCCAAACTGAAGATAACTGATTGACATTTTGATCCTCACTTTTCATTTATTCCTACTAGAGTTTCCTTCCCCTTAAAAAGCTTATTATAGGCATCCAAATGCTTATGATTTGATGTAACATAATATGAAAGGAAAGTAACTACTGATTGATGTATAGAGCTTTCAAGTTTTTTTACATCATTTGTGATACTTTAATCTGCTGAATTTTAAATATCCTAATCTCCCAAAATGAAAATAATTGATTGACTTTTTGATCCTTCCTCATCATTTATTCCTACTAGAGTTTCCCTACCATTAAAAGCTTCTGGCAGTTTCTTTTGTCATACATGCTCTTATGCTTATTTTTCTAGTGTTGTAATCTTTGCTCCAGTCAATTTCTTGAACATATGGTTGGAAGTGTCTATCAACAAACTCTATTGAGCGGGTTTCGCCAAATTCTATTTGAAAATGGATTTTATAACACATTGTTTTGATAAGTTTTCTCAAACTTTCTCATTTGATAGTACATGAGTGGTATGTATGAAATAACAAGAACTACTTAGAGACAAATAATTTTTTGTGTTTACATGATTTAACCAAGAATGACCTATTATGGGGCAAGAATGCACACTGAATCCACTAATTAGATGGAGGGTTACATAAAAAAGACAATTATATGGTATCTATCTAAACACCTTGAAACATCAATAAAAAGGAGAAGCAACCAGTCCTTGAAACAATTTCTTCTAAAGAAAAATAAAAAGAAGTGTTGAGATAATTTGTCTTGAAAAATCTCCAAGAACATGACAACAACAGATGTCCCTTATTATCTTTCCTTCAATTTCCCAGCAGCATCAGCCTGTTTTTCCCTTTCATGAACAACACAAAATTACATCCCACCATTTTTGTTTTGGTACCTAGGGAAGATTGCTGCCTCGAGTTTTGTTTAATTCTTACGATTTTTATTCATGAGAAAAAAAAAATGCTTTCCACATTCCCGTCCGTAGGACAAAATCACAGCCTTGATTTCCTCCTGTTTGCAATCGTGATAAAATAAAAGAACTGCAGCCAACCTCTAGCTTATCTTTTGTAGACTCGTCAAAACTACTACCCTGATTTGTTGAGTAGTGGGGTCAATTAGGCCTATTATGATTTCTAAAAAACCATTTAATATTTTATATAATCCAAAATAATTTATTATTAGTAAATTTTGTACTTCATCTATGAATGATAAACTGATATAAAAAATAGAGGCTTTCTATTGATACCTTTTCTTAAAGTCAAATTTATTGTTTATCATCATAAGGAATGAATTAAACTTATCAAACACTAGTACATGTGAAGAAAAGTGTCAAAGCAATTGTTTAACATCATAAGGAATGAAATAACCTTGTCAATGCTCGTACATGTTAAGAAAAGTTTCAATCCTGGGACCCACACTCTTATCTTCACATGTGTTGTTCAAGTCCATGTCAATATTTCTTTAAACACAATTGTGTCTCTTGCTTGCATATATTTGTTTTATTTGGAAATATATACATTTGATGTTGTAATATTGGGCTCAATTGTCTCTGTTAGTGAATCTTCATTCTTTGACTGTCCGAAGTAGTGGAAGTTTTCCCTGTTGACTCTTTTAAAGCACTTTCAAATTTTTAATATCCTAATTTTCTTACTCCTTATATGTTGCTTAGTGTAAAATTTCTGTAAATGAGTCAGGTGGATCTTCTTAATGAAAGCCACGCTTTGTTGAGTGACATGTAGCCTTTTTAAGTTTAGAATTTAAGCATTCATGGCTTATTGTTTTTGGACTTGACAGCAAAAAATTTATGAAACCAAGACTTTACGAAATAATAAATTTTAATTTATTTATACCTTCAAATTACTGCATCACTGCTGTGGTTTATTATTGCCTTCAGTTCAAAAATCTTAATGATATATATTTTCTGTAAATGAGTAATGTTAATCGCCATTTTATCAATCTCTTTCCAGACTCGGTTTTCTTCAGATTAAAATTGGCATAGAAACAATGGCACAAAGAAATATCTTCTATGCATCGCCATTGCCTGAATTCCAAAACGTGCATCTCTCGAATCCTCCAAATGTCAATCCCCAGAGGCACATTGGTAAATTTTCCATTTATGCTGTTTTGATGCTCTATGTTTATCCAAGCTTGTTCATTGATTCATAAATGCCATGTTCTTTTCTTTGAACTCTGATTTCTAATAATCTTGATATTTGACTTGCAGAAAGGACTATGTTGGGATCAAATGAGCTAACGATAATGAATTATAATGTGAATTCCTCTCATCCAAATACTGCTAATTCTAATGCAATTTGTGACAACTATCAGCATCCTATTTTTACCATCAGCAGTAACCAAAATATGACATACCAAACTCAAATTGTACCTTACTGCTACAATCACAATGCTAATCAGACTGGGGTTACAATGTTTTATCCACCAGCAGCGAATTCTAGGATTGCATTTAAAAGGAAGACTCCTGCACACCCAGTGTACCAGAATCCCTATGGGTATCTGTCTACTGGAACTTCTTCCAACTTTCCAGTTCCCCCAAATAGTTTTCAGCTGAAGCATATGCCGTTCTGTTCTAGCCCTCTACATCCTAATAGCAATGTTTACAGGTACCAAGATGAGACTCTTCTATCTGTCGGTGAAGAATTTCAGAGGAATGTGAGAATCCGGCATAACAATGCTCCTCAAGCAGAGCTGAACCCAGCATGGCAACCTTCTTCAAGTAGACCAACACAGCTGTTGCACTCATCATCAAGCATTTTAGCTGCCACTGTTGTTGGTGGTCCATTGAACCGCAACTCTTTACCTGGAACATATTCCCAAAGGAATCATACTACAAGTTAGTATGATTTATTCCTTTAATTCTTTTTCTTTTTTTTTAATACTCTTCTTCCCTTGTATTGCCTTATCTTACTGTTTCTTTGAGCTGCAGATCCTGGCTGGAATCGGCCTGTTTCAAGCAATGGTGTCTTTGGTAGCGATACTGAACAGAATAGTGCTTGGAACTCAGATAACAGTAGAAACTCACATTCAAGACTGCCTAATCCGCAAGGTTCTGATGCTCAAGCCACTTGGGGATGTCCTACCAGTTATGATCGAAGGCTAGTTCTTAATAGGACCTCTTCAAACTACACAAACCTGGCTGCTACCCAGAGTTATGGCCCTTCCGGCAATGGCTTTGTTTCATCCTCTAGAATTCCTCGGTCAATTAATCTTCAAAACAGCTCCACAAATAGAGTTCTGAGGAACGTTAATGCTGGCTGGCCAACTTTCATTCCCGGTAATGCACAGCGTGGATGGACTTCTCAGGTAAAGTCGAGCTAAGCAAAAATGCTATTTCAAAGTGCATGTTCAAAAGCTATCTTTGTCATAATGTATTTTTCCACAGGGCTTTTCTATGACGGATATTTCTCGCTCTGCTTATGCGCTCGATTTGACTGATGAACATAGGGATATGAGACTCGACATAGACAACATGAGCTATGAGGTTTGTGAATCCTCCTCAACTATCTTTTACTGCATCATTAAGTTTATGGTGTTTCAATGTATCATATACGCTTCTTCTTTGCTTACTACAGGAGCTGCTCGTGTTGGAGGAGACTATTGGAAATGTGAGCACTGGTTTGTCAGAAGATTATCTCACCAAATGCTTAACTGAAAGACTGTATTGTTCATCTGCATCTGCCCAGGATGATAAGGATGAAGAAGCCTGCTGCCCTATATGCTTGGTAAAATCTTAAAAATCCATGTTTTCCTTTAAATATTTCTAGATATTATCAAGTATTGATCTTGAATCTTTCTCATAATGTGGAAACAGGAGGAGTTCAAGGATAATGATAGTCAGGGATTAATGAAATGCCCGCATGTCTATCATTTCACCTGCATCAAGAAGTGGTTAAAGTTGAAGAAAACCTGCCCAGTTTGCAAGGCTCCGGCGCTTGATGATGAGAAGCAGAAACAGACCGTTTCTTCATGATTAGCTATATCTTAACTTGCTAGATAGTTGCTTGCAATCTGCCTTTGAAAATTGTAAATAAGATGGTAAATTGCAGTATATTTTAGGGACTTACAGTTGCCATTCGTTCTATTCGTTCAATTGCATAGTTAATTTCATTGCCATTTATTGATTTGCCCATTAACTAGCCAAATTAGATTTGTCTTCACTGGATGCCATCATGCCAACTCTATATCTCATGGTTCTTGTAATATATAATATGCTTTTTATATATCATATGCACATTATTAAGGGCAGTGTGAAGTTCCAACTAGATTAACTCCACATAAATTACTGAGCCAACTTCCCTTGTTTGTACCAACCTTTACACTTATTAATTGAGTGAGATATTTAGTAAGGGAGTGCTCCACCTTCAAAGGTTTTGATAGCATATTGGTTATGGTTGGCAAATTCTAAGAAAATAACTCATTTTTGACCCAACCATTGAATTTTCATTATTATATTTAGAAAACTAATTTATATTTTGTGCTTGTTTTATTTTTAATTTGTACGGATTGCAAAATTTAAGTTATTCATGACTGTCTTGCAATAGAACAGAAGTAGAAATGTTCTATCAATACAATTTGTTCTAGGATTGCCTAGGAAACTAAAGGTTTTGATAGCATATTGCTTATGGTTGGCAAATTCTAAGAAAATAACTCATTTTATACCTTGCAATAAAATAAATGATGCTTTGTGTATTACAAGACTATTCCTTAAAGACAATATTGTGTTACATGAGACATTATTGTGTTATATGATACAAAAAAATATATATTTTGTGCTGCTTTATTTTATTTTGCACAAATTGCATAATGTAAGTTGTTCATGGCCATCAAATCAAGGGGTAGCTATGCCTTGGTGACATGAACTTTATTATAGTTATTTTTTGCTTATTTGCTGCTTCCTCCCTCACAAGATTCTCTCTTCAAAAGCATTTGAATTTTGAATTTGGTTGCATTAGGCTGTAAATACAAAATTTTGAAGCTTGAAAATGCTTTATGCTTGGTGGTCATCCTCTCTCTCTTAAGTGCTTCTTATTGGAAGTTCTTATCTTCATCCTCTTACCGTAAAAATTTCTTAACTCAATAAAAAGATAATCTTTCATTTATGATGCCTACTTTTCTAAGAGCATCTCATTCTTTCTACCGGCCTTAGTTATGGAGCATAACTGTTCCCCCCTCAACTAGGCTCTAGAAATTTGACCACCCCTCTCACAAAAATACTCATACTTTTCCAATAACTCTTTCATACATCCAACCACATCGCTTACATAATAAAATAATCATTACAATAACTTTTATGATTTTATCTTGTTCTTTATTACTAATTTACAAAAGGCCATAAGAGAGAGAGAGTTTATAAAAGTTAGGACCCACTCACACTTACCTAAATGTTTGGTTAACCCTTTTGACCAAGAGGCCTACTCTCTTACACTCACCTTGACCAAAGTTCAACCAAATCCAAAATAGGTTGAACCAACTTAGAGCTTTAACTTATGTTGATCAATTTGGGTTGCTTAGATTAAATCATTTAAAATTGAATCCAAACATAATCAAATAAGACATTTTTTAGGTTACTCCCAACTCAAATGAACTAAAATCATAATCAATTACACTTAATTAGATTTAATGGGCTCAAATTATAGACTCAATTGGGTCATTTAGTCTAAATTGACTAAATCTTATCCAAACTTAGTTTAAATCAACCAACACATTTTTAGGTCTAATTATAGCCAATCAAGCTTGATTGACCTTTATTGGATCCCCAATTAAGCCAATTGAATCATTAACCCAATTTAGTTCATATGAACAAAATTTCAAATTAAACCTAAATATATCTAGTCAAAGCTTTTAAATCACTTCCTTTGGTCGTATTTGAACAATCAAATATAAATCCATGTCCAATAGGTTTTTAATTGATTCTAATTAAGCTTGTACTAAAAGAGAACGTAATAGGGGCCCAATAAAATCCAAGGATCCATTTAGGCTCAAACTAGATTCCATTCTAATCCAACTAAATTCAAAGCTCTTCAAGTATTTAGGATTTATATGCTTAGCTATTTTCCTTGTCATTGGACCTCTAATTGTGTCTAATTAGGTCATGAACTACATGAACTCGCATTGACCCTTTGGGTCACCTTGCATTAACCTTAATCCAAGCAAAAAATAATAAATTTAAGTATTTATTAGAGAGTGTAGAGTACTTGCTTATGTACATCCCAATACTCTTTAAGCTTAAATTAGGGCCAATTAGGCTTGAGCGACATGAACTTAATTAAAACCTTTAAGAAAAATTGGATTAAATCTAAACCAATAATAAAATTTTGCTTAAGTATAATTATACATCATAGGAACCTATTTAGACTTATTATAGCTAGATGAGCCTACCCAAGTGCAACCAAGGGAACCTAGTTATCCAATTCAAGCCATATCTCCTAATAAGTCAGAAAATTCTTGTTTGTTTCCCAAATTAGCAATACATGGGACTATAATAGGCTCACTAAACCTTGCCCAAACTCAACCCATGTATAACCCAAGATTGGACTATGTCGTTTAAGCTAGTTTAAAGCAAGTGATCCACTCAACTACTTAAATCCACTCCTTTATTCATCCAAAACTTAAAGCTACTTAAGTGTAGTCCCAATATACCCTAGCCATTCAATAACATGCTATAGATGGCTTAATTTCCACACCATAGGCACCTTAATTGTCATGAGAAAGAGAGGCTCACTTTTGGTCAAGCCAATAGAAGGCTATTCTTCCAATTGACTCATTTGTAACCCTTTCCTAGCTAAAAAAAGACTTTTTAGAGCTCCTCCTTCTCTCTCGTACTCTCTATGTCCCTCCTAGATCAACTTATATGAGCCCATAACTGAGTGTTGGTTGAGACATCATTCCAAGCATCCCTGAAAACCGATGTTTAAATGAAAAGTGTTTGTCTGCTTAAGGAAAAGCTACCTAGTGGAGGTGTTGATCCATTTTTCTCTCTACCAAGTAATCTCCCTTCCCTTCCTCTATTTCTTTCAATTTCAATCTTACAATAAATAAAAGGTTAAGGTCCATAACACCACAAGCTAGAAACCTCAAAGTGTTCTCTTGTTCATTTCTAATTGGTTGGATTTGAGTTTACCCCATTAGATTGAGTAGAACAAGTCAAAATATGTAGATAACTCACACGCTATAATGAGTAGTAGGAGATAAGATCACCATCATTCTTTCTTGTTATTTGAAATGGATTGTGATGATCTAATTATATATAATACTATCATCTCATATGTTAAATTGTTGGGTTAATCTTTATTTTTTGATTAAAAATCAAATGACTGGAGTTAATCCCAGCAAATGTTAGATCATTCTGTCAATCTAAATAGCCAACTGAAGCACACTTCACATCAGTGCTGATTATGTAGACATTTAAATACAATTAATAAATTATTTAAAAATCAACAAAAACTTTAAAATAATACCTAAAATCATATAAAAACAAATAAATATAAAAAAAAAACTATGCTTAGAAAATATAGCATTAATTAGGAAAAATAAATCTCAAATTTCATTGAAAAATATAAAATTATTTAAAAAAAATATGAAAATTATAAACTTAAAATTAAAATAGACTATTGATCAAATTGTCTCAAAAAATTAAGCAAAATTTTCATTGGACTTTCCTGATACTGAGAAATTTCTTATGAGATTTAAACATTAAAATCTATTAAATTACTATATTACTGAATTAAT